TAGCCCGATGTGCTTTCCAGTAATCAACCTGTACAAAGAGAAACCCTACATAAATCTACCACCACGCGTAAATCTACGTAAATAAATTTACCACCTCACGGCATTACTTAAATAAATGTACCACCATACATCTACCATCACATGGGATACATAAATCTAGGTAACTAAACCTACCACCATAAATTTACCAACACAAGGGGTACATAAATCTACGTAATTAAATCTACCACCTCAAAGTGTACATAAATCTACCAGGACGACATAAATAAGTCTACCAAATCAGAACATACCCATACCCTTACCTTAAGTCCAAATCGTTTTGTCAGCCCATTAGAGACATGGTTTGGAAATACTGAAGGTTCAACACCACCGACAAAGTCTTTATAGAGACGTTCTAGAATCTGGTAAGTGGCATGGCGGGTACGAAGTGATCGGACAGTTACAAAACATGTGTGCTTTCTAACGTAAGTCTTAATGTAGAAGATTGAACCATCACCTACAGTTGAAGCACGAACTCGCCATACACATCCTTGAACCCAACACTATACCACCAACAATATTGGTGTTGAATATGCAACTTGTAGTCAAATTTTTTAATGATGCTAAGAATTTGCAGCCGCATAATCAAATAATTTTTTGTCTGGTAACTTTGGCCAGCGGCTAAATCTATTGAACTGATCTCCATCTTAAGAAAATCTAGAATTATTGCAGGATTTGCCTTTGGTGGTAGAGTTTCAACATCATCTTCTACATAAACACTTCCTCCATCCCTTGATTTTATAGAAGTTCCATTTTCTTCGTCATCAGAAGTAGCACCATCCGGATCTTCGCATCCATCATATCTGCTACTCAAGTCTTCGTCTTCTTCCTCTTCTTCATCTCGTTTTGCTTCTTCATGTTGTTGTTCTTCTTCATCTCCTTCTTCTTCTTCAACAGTAACATGGTCCGATCGTAATGGAGACTTGTTCCTAGCAGCAGGACGATTCTCTCCATCTGAACCATAATCATCGGGAGTTTTTGATTTAATCTCAACACACATGCGGATCCGATCTTCTTTCAATTTCTCGAAAAACCTGCTCAACTATCCATTATTTCCCACAAATACAGGAGGTGTATCTTGTGGTAATCTTTGCAACACCTCCTTCGACAACATATATCTTAATTGCACATCTTGATTTTGAGGATCCAAACCAAAATCTTTAAACACCATTCCCAGAAATCCAGCGAAACAGATTTCTTCATGCACCCGCAATATTCGACATCCCTTTCCTTTATCTATGCCAAACCTCCATCGATTTTTGTGAAAACTTCATTTTTAACAAACCAAAATAATTTGTTTCATACAGTCTAAATGACCAAGACCTTCATAAACCAGATATATAAAAATCGAAATGAGTATTTAATAGAGGAAGAAAAAGAAGAAAATCGAGAGTTTAGTTTGTTTGGTCGAACCAGATGGAGAAAAATGGAAGCTGCGATAACCTAGAATGTGATGTGTGGTCCCAAATTTTTATTTTTTTTGTTATTTAAACCCTATTACATTACTACTCTTCCTCTCCCAACTAACTCTTCTACCTTTGCTGTCGACATCAGTCTGTCCGGGTACTCCACCGCCTAACTCACTCTACCCGACGTCGGCAAGTTCACTCTACTCAAATCCGAGACTGCCAACTCTCGTCGGTAAGTATTCCTCTTCCTCTTCCTTTTCGTCCGCCAAATACCTTCATTTCTGTGGCGAGTTCACATCCGTTGTAGGTTATAGTTAGAGATTATCATCAAATCACTTCGTCTGATGTTGTGTGGTACTTATACAAGGTCTCTTGATGGTAGATTTATGTTATCTCTACGTCTGTTAATAAACTGTTGTGGTAGATATACTGTTTCTCTTTATGGTAGATTTAAGTTTTTTTGCACGACCATTTTTAATCTGTTGTGGTAGATATACTTGGTTAAATGATGGAAGATTAACTTTATCTGCAGTTCTGACTTTTCCGCTTCTCTATACTCTCTCTATATCAGCGTAAAATGGAAACAAATGATGGATTCCACCAAATAAGAGACCTACTCGGGCCGATTCTTTAGAGAGTGGGACGAGTTTCTGCTAAAGACACATGTCGTGCAGCATGTGCGTCAAAACAACTAAACACAACATTAAATGAATCATCTGTAATGCAAGCACTAAACCTATCAGACTTCATTGTTGATACAACTTTGCTCGAACGATATCCTCACTTCTTCAATTTGGCTCTCTCATCAGACAATCCTTATGTGTTATACCTGCACAGGATGAGGACAATAGCTATAGGCCACGACGTTGAAAATTTTCTCAGATTTTTCAACAAGGCTTCCAAAGCCGGGATAGACCAAGCAATTTTGATGGTCACTGTTATCGTAACTGCATATAGCCAATATCCAACTGCAATGGTAATGTTGGAAAGAGTTGTAGGGTGGAGATCACGCTTGCACAACATGATTGAATTAGTGAAGAGGTTTCTCGAACCAAGATGGGAATGCGAGTGCTACTGCAGATCTATTGCCCAATGTTTTTAAAGTAGAAGAATTTCCAAGCTGTAGGTTCAAACACTCATTAATGTGTTGCCATGAGTGATACATTTGTCTTCAGTACCAACTGCTAAGATTTCAGTTTTAATAGCGTCTATTTTCTACTGTGTAATATGGATCGCTGCATCTATCTCTATGCACTTCGTTCGTTGAACATCTCTAAGTACTTTATTTAAGAACTGCATCTCTATGTATTTTCTATAAATTTTCAAATGTAATGAACGGGTCTTCAACAGTCGATATAGAGGTTAAATCTCTTCACTGCATATTCACATTCTTATCACGTCCAACTTCAACATTCGATTTCAACGTTCTTCACCGTTCAATACCACATGACAAGTCTATCACTACGCAATCACGATCTGTTAAAAAGTCAACTATCTACCAGCACATAATAAGTCTACCACCACGTAACACGATAAATCTACCAATGATGTTACTCTGGTAATTATAGAAAATATAACTCCACCACTACGAAAATGAAGTAAATCTACCACAACAGCGTAAGTACTAAAAACTCTACCATCAACAAGATAACTCTACCACCGAATGAATACAAAATAAATGTACTACGATTACCATAAATCTACCACCACAAATACTAAGTCTACCAAATGAAAATAAATCTACCAAGTCTAAAAACAAATCTACCATCATTCAAAGTCAATGAACGTAAAAAGTCAACCAATCACCCTCAGGTAGGGTCGAAAACAAAAAATCTTCCACAATATATTTTTAAGTCTACCAAGTTCACCAATAAATCTACCGTTCAAGAAACAACTCTACTGTTCCAAAAAAATCTACTGCGTCGTAAGTACTTCATCATCAACAACAAGTTTACCAAACAGAACAAATCTACTGGAGAAAACAAATCTACCAGCCGTTGACAATAACTACTTAAGTCTACGGTCAAACAACTCATTGACATGGCAAAAGAAAAGTAATGGCACAATCGTAAATACCGTTTTGTTAATCAAAGGTTTGAAGGGCATAATCGGTAACTAGGTTAGTTCAGTTAAAAAAAAAATTAGCTGATCTAGCTCAAATCTCTTTTAAAAGAATTTTCTAGTAATCCTTCCTTATTCATTAAATGCATATTTGTTCATAATCGCTTATTTTATGAAAAGTTGCATCAGTTAATTTTTTTTTGAACTCTATGAAAAGACGCAAAATTTTTAATCATCGTTATTTTTTGTTTGGAAAATAAGTTTATTAGACCATATTTATAATTGCTCAATTGATAAAACGCTATTTTATTTAGTCATACATATTATATATTTTTTTTATGAAAAGCGTCTCTATATTTATAATTAGTTTTGTTTTTTTTATTATAATATTTTGTTGATTATTTATGAACTAGGTGTTTTCCCGCACAAGGTGCGGTGTTCGATTAATTTTTTAAAAAATAATATTAGTTTATTTATAGATAAAAAAATCAGATTTTATAATTATTTGAAATCAAAATTAATATATTTGAAAAATAAAATTTTCATGAGATATATTATTTTTTGACCGCATAAATTAATTTTCATAAGATTTAAATTTTACTTGTGACCGCATAAATAGATTAGGTTAATTGAAAATACTAGTAGGTTAAAATATCAAATTAAAATTAGTTTAAAAAAATAATTAGAATTGATTTTTTATGATTTATGTTAATTATCTTTTTTAGTAAACTGAATATTCTTATGATATAAACTTAAATTTAAAAATTTAAGTTTAAATGAAACAAAAATTAAAAATTAGATTATATTAATTTCTTAATTTTATTAAGGATAAATAAAGTCTTTTTATATAAGGGGTAAATAATAATCAACTATTGTAACTCTCAACTACAACTCAACTTGCTTGCTAATTAATAATATAATTTTTAGTAACTAATGTTTGATTTTTTAACCAATTACAGAGATTTGTATCTATCTAAAATAGCAATTCTGCATATAATTTATATTTGTATTTATAATCTATCAAAGGTTTTTACATTTTAAATAATATATTTGTCATGTACCTTTTTTATAGTGGGAACTGTTTTTATAAAAATGTTATTTTTTTCATTTAATATTTTTTCAATTTTAACCATAATAGTCTTAGAAAATATATCATACAATCTCATTAAACTATCATTATTTTTTTTAATTGTTTTTTTTGCAACCGATATAATAATCATATTGTATTTTTTAGAAAACGGTAATCATAAGTTTTATTTATAAATTTGCAATAATAAGTGTATAATTCTATAAAATGTTTTAAAAATTGCCATTTTATTTTCATTTTTCACTTTATACCTTTTCGCTAATATATATATTTAATAAATATACAAATAGTTTGGAAGATTGCGTATCCATATCATATTTTGTATTATACATTTTTATATATAACTTTTTCAGTACTATAAAAAATAATTTAAAAGGTTATGTATCTTATAATTCTTTGGTTTTTTAGTATAATGATTTTAGAAAATATTTAGAAAGTTAAATATTTTTATCATAATTAGTTTATACTTTTCAATTTAATGTAACATATTGTTAATAATTAAAAAAATTATATCTTTTTTACTCTTTGAATAATTATTAAAAAAAATTTGAATGTTACATGTTTTTATCATTATTTTTTGTTTTATATAATTCTAGTTACAATAATATCAAATAATTTTCTGTTTAATTTTTAATATATGATAATTAAACAATCTGAATGCATGCCATTTACACTTTCATCAGTTGTGTCGTTTTAAAATATGTAGTTGCGTCTTTTCATTATAAATAGTTGTATCTTTTCACTATAAATGGTTGTGTTTCTTCATTATAACTGTAATTTGTGTCTTTTCAAAACTATTTATATTGCTCAAAATTATAAAAAATTTATTTAGATCAAATTTTTTACTTTCTTACTATAATGGTTTAGCATAAAAATATATATATTATTTAAATAATTTTTTTATAAATAGAAAAAATAATAGAAAATCTAACATATAATCGTTTTTCCAAAAATAATTATCAATGTTTAAAAGCATGGAAAAAGGTTAATATTGTTAATCATTTTGAGAAAATATATAATATTTACCTTTGTTGAGAGTGTTTTATAGTTCTTTTTTTTCAAATTATTGTAAAAATGTTGAAAGATCCACCTCCATTTAGTTTTAACGTCCGGTTACAGCTGTGAGGCTCACATCGTTGATAGAGACCTTTTGACTGCTCTGGTCAGAAGATTCAGCCTCGGAGACTCCTCTTCTTGCTATAAACGCAGGCTGCTTCGGCTCAGGTATGTTCGTGTTCTCTGTAGTTAGCATCCAAATAACGGTTGAAACATTCGGTCTGTCGTTTGCAACTTCTTGCACACACAACAGACCAATCTGAATACATTTCGTTATCTCTTTCTCAAAACACTCATCAAAGACGATTGGATCTGCTAGAGAAGCAGCCGCACCTTCATTCGACAGCTTCCACGCCTTTAATAAAACCAAACATACAGTGAGTTTCAAAGCTAGTAAGTAACTAAACACTGATTAGTACACACTTACATAAGCTAAAAGGTTCAGATTATTCTCTTCCTTGTAAGAGTTTCTTCTCCCACTTATGATCTCTAGAAATATAACTCCTAAGCTGAAAACGTCTGATTTTTCTGAAAAGATACCTTCCATTGCATATTCCGGTGACATATAGCCACTGCAAAAACAATAATGTCATTCACATTGGTTATGATAAAAACCGAATTTGAAAAATGATTGTTGTGTATTCTGGGAATGTATACTTACTATGTTCCAACAACCCTTCTTGTGTTAGCTTCATCTTCATTGGCTCTGAAAACTCTTGCAAGCCCGAAATCAGATATTTTGGGATTCAGATTGTCATCTAACAAAATGTTACTGGCTTTTAGATCTCTGTGTATGATCTTCAGTCTTGAATCTCTGTGAAGGTACAAGAGACCTCTGCAAATTCCTTCCATAATGTTGAACCGAGTCTTCCAATCAAGAATCTTTTGCTTCAGTGGGTCTGAGTAAAAGCTAACGAAATCATTAGCTTATTCTTCAATCACCTCGGGCCAAATGGTAAAAACAGAGTTGAGAAACAGAGGTGATAAGTTTACCAAATAGATACGAATCCAAGCTTTTCTTTGGCATGTATTCATACACTAACAACCTTTCTTCACCTTCAACGCAACAGCCAAGTAGTTTTACCAAATTTCGATGCTGCAACTTTGAAATCACAACCACCTCGTTCATAAGTTCCTCTAGCCCTTGTCCTGATGCCTTTGAGAGCCTCTTGACAGCAATTTCTTGCCCTTCTGGTAACTTCCCCTGAACAAAAAGATTACTAGTCACTTTAGTCTGAGATTATTATATACACATATCTCTTATCAGAAGGATTCTTGTTTAATGCTTTACCTTATAAACAGGACCAAATCCGCCTTGTCCAAGCTTGTTTCTAAGAGAGAAGCTATCGGTGGATGTAGCCAATACTTGAAACTCAAAGAGAGGAAGCTCTTTGAGCTTGACTTGGTTAGAAGCAGACTCGTTACCACTTGTAAGTGCTTCCATTCTCTTAAACAATAGCTCTGCACTTTGATCTTTCGCTGGTGCGTCTAAAGCAACGATCAATGAAGCAAACAAATCATGATTCAAGATACACTCTAAGTCTATCTTCAATGAGTAAAGAAAAATCTTACCTGGACGCTTTTTGAATTTCCGGCATGCTAAAATAAGGCAGACCGCGGCAATAAAGGCAACGCCTAGTACGGGTGCTGTGATCATAACTGCTCGCTTGCTATGTGTTTCTGCAAGTTCTGGTGAGAAAACATAATCAGCCAATTAAGTAAAACTAAATGGAGAAGAAAACAAGTAGAGATTTGGTACTCACTGAGTTCAGAGTGCGCAAGTCGAACATAAAGGTCAATGCCACTTCCCAATGATGATTGCATATCAAGTAAGCTACCACTCCAAATCATGCATCCAATTCCTCGATCATAAGCATAAGCAGTGCAAGAACAGTTATCTGAACAAACCTTGGGACAAGCTTGCTCATAAGATTGCTCACTAAGCCATCTGATTGGTACTTTCATCTTCTGCATTTTATAAAAGCCATCTTCTTTTCCACCACCACCATTACTGCTTGCATTGCTCTGCCTCTCGCACCGCAATGGAGCTCTTCTCACACATCCATTAGTCCAATTCCTCGCATTCCACTCTGTGCTATTCCTCGGCACAAACCCTTTTACGCAACTACAAGGCGGATCTTCACTGGAACTGCAGCTCCCGTATGGACCACACATACCGCATGCATCACAACCTATCGATGGGAACCTAGCACCGACTCTCCAAGCATTCATAGAGGTACTCCAATCTCTCTGATAGATAGCTCCATTAGGATCCAGGTTAAAGTTATACATGAAAGAATCATTAGCATAGGACATTGAAAATGTTCCTTTGTTATCATTGTTAAGATTAAACCCATCAAGATACAAAAGAGATTCCACATCCGGTATACCGATGAAAACCTGACCGTTCCACGGTCCGCTACGCCAGATTGGGACATTGTTCCTCCAGATTCGAAGCTCCGGAAACGTGAAAGGAGCAAGACCAGCTGTGTAGTTCCCTGTTGAAGGATCTTCATAGCTTCTCCAAGAAGTAAGCTTTAGATTCTCTCCGGTTCTATTGTTGGTCCCAAGATTCATTCTTGGCAAGAAAGAAGTAGAAGGATGCTCGAAACTCTCCCAGAGGATCTCACCGTTGTTTCTGTTGTCTTCTAACCTAAGATTCCCAGTATCCATTAGCTGAACCCAAGTAGCATTTGGAGCCACTGGTACTGTGACGTTCGTCGACCATAGAAGGCGGTTTCGACCATCGGTGACGACGAGATTTCCGTCCTCAGAGATCGAGACAACACCGGAAGTGTCGTTGATCGGAGTGTCCTTGTTAGCAACCCAAACCACAGTTTGGATTGGAATCTTGTCGTACCAAATCCCAACATAACGTAACCGAGCAGTGGAATTTACAGGAGTGAAGAAGCCAAACCTGAAAACACCACTTTTGCAGAGAAGGGTCTCTGAATCTTTGATCCGAGTTGAGAGCGTGATTCTGTCTTCGCCGAAACAGAGCCTCAACGAGAATGTTGCAAGTAGAAGAAGAACCAAACGACGACGTGAGTTCAGTAGAACCACCATAACTATTTGGCACAGAATGGTTCCAGTTTTGCCGTGTTTGTTTCTCTTTCGAAGATTTTGCTCTAAGAGAGGTATATTAATAACGTAGTCGTCTTTGTCTCTATAAGAAGACTTAGAAGAAAGAAGATGATGTATTATTTTCTTTCGCCGTGTTCTGTGGTGGAGTAATAATGTATTTGGTGGGTTCATTGAATTGCCCAATTAGAAATGAGAGCGGAACAAACAACCAATCTTGACTTTTTTCTTTTTGACGCAGAGAAAATTTTGGAGAAGGACGATGAAGAAAGTGAGAGGCGGCGAGTACTACTTGCGTTAGTGCGATATCTTAATGGGACCATTGTTTCAAACTCTTGAGTAGACTGGTTTCCTCGCAGATGATCAATGACACAAGTCATTACCATGTTGAGAGCGACGATGACTTTACACCTCTCATTAACCTACAAAATCGGTAGACTTAGTTCTGTCGAACTTGACTCTTGTATTGTAAAGTCACATGCTATTGCTACCTATTAGTATACACTTTAATGACTAGTATGCTTAAAAAAATGTGTTTGGTTCCTTTATGTAAACTTTAAAATGCCAGAACTCTGTAACGTTGCAATCGCGACATATTAAACATGTTATTGTACTTCTCTCCAAGCTTCGCATTAAGCAATTGAAGACAGCAAAATAATTAACAATCACTCTTTTATTACCCATCAAGGCGAAAAATATGGCAGCTACATCAAATTTCTTTCCAGATATATAACTTTGCGTAAGACACTATTTTTACTCTAGAAACTGCAATCAATGATAAATAGAAGCATGAATATACCTGGAAAGAGAAGCATTAAGATCACAGAGACCAATGAGACTGAAGCTTGAGAGACCTATGGTTGTTCCGCTGCTGTTTGCGAGATAAACAAGACTTGGACTTACACTAAACCGATGGGCTATGTTGAATTTCAGATACGACTCCACCTGAAACCGATCATGGTTTCTTGAACCATCGACGACTCCCCCAACGCTCATGCCCCAGCCCACTTCACCCTCTAGTTTGTCTGTAAATAGACACTGACCATTTTACTTGCTTCTCTCCTGAGTTCTGAATTTCAATCCATCCCCCAATGCCTCGTAGTCTCGTCCATTAGAGAGTCTAACTTCAAAGCAATGGAAGTAGACGACACATGATTCATGCTTCTGCTCATCTCCTGTGTGTGATGCTGATGATTCAGGCTCCGTTGAAACACGTCGCCTTAGGAAACTTACTGGAACCGTAATGGCTCCAGCAGACCGGAGGTAGTTAGATGGTGTTATCATTTGGTGACAGCCCAGTAGAGATAGTTCTACACCTCTCAGAATGTCGCAGGACACTGAAACAACGATCCGTTGCATTCATACCTTCAAGGTCTGTGATGGATTGGCCCAGTGAAGCTGCAACGTTTGAATTTCTGACTGTTAACCCCATGGCACTACCATTATGTTGGTTTACAAGAGATGGTCCAAGTTCGGAAACTTCTGTGAGATTCATCCCCTGCAAGACGGAGCTTCGTCGATAACAATAATGCATGAGAAAAAAATGGATAAGAAAGAAAGCAGGAAGAAAAACCACAAACACGCAACATATATGGAAACAAAACTCTGCAAATATTGGTGGGACACCTGGTAAGAAGACACTACATCAGCATCAATGTCTCTGAAATGCGCGCCAACAGGAATAGCAACTGCAGAGAACCAATCATTGATCTCTGCCTTGTAGAAGACCTTGGCTGGTTCCATGAAACATCACTGTGGTTTCCTTCCCCTTTGTATCCAGCTACGAGCTCAGCCGCAAGCCTATCTGTCTCCCTAAGTCTCGTTTCAAACATGAACCTAGAGAGCAATTCAGGTCTCACTCCTTCTCTCTCGAGTCCATGGATACTCTCCTCGCCAGTGTCTCCCATCAGCAACATTGCTCCAAGGACATCAACCTCACCCTTCACACGGGTGCTAGTCTCTTGGAAAAGACCTCCTTTTGATTGTTTATACGAGGAGATTACTCGCTCCACTAAAGATGTACGTACCTGCAGCATATTGTATCGAAGGTGGAGTAAAACGGAATAATCATCAGGTTTACACTTGAAAACTCGCATTCCACTACGGCCTATTCCATCCTTCAGATGATCAATATCGAAGCCCTAATTTAGACACAATTAGCAATTAGCAAATAAGAATATTTATAAAAGGGTTTTGTGCTACAACCAACAAAAACATCACTAGTCATATATACATACATCGGACTCCCACACTCGACGCCAATACTCGGCCTCTTTTTTACGACGAGCCTCCGCATACTTCTCTGCTAGCCTTAGTGAACGACGTCTCGTCTCCCTTCTCACAACTCCCATTCTGATTCTTGTGCCCTACTCTATGCGGAATCTGCTAAACCTAAAACCGCAGACTAAACCCAGTTAGTAGAACAACTTATCAAGCGAAAAACAACGTCCGAGCAATGTGCATTCAAGCCGATTAAATCTGACAAAAACTCAGATGAAAAACAGGATGAGTAGTTCATCTCTGACGGTGTTAGTACCCTCAGGCTTAAACAGATTGACCCTTTTAAATCTATTAAAAATTATTACATAAATGGGCTTAAACGGGCTAATTTTTTGAAACAGACCCGTTTAAACCCGCTAATTTAATTAACATCCTCTTTTCACTTTTCAGACATTGGTGGCAATACCAAAGATTCTTGATTCTATTAGCTTAAAGTCTTAAACTTTACCTAAAAACTTCGTCAGCACCACCAATCTTGCCAATCTCAATGTTTTTGATTGAGTTTTCTTACTCTCGAAGCTGTGAAATAGACCAGAAAGAAAGATAACAAAGAGATGTAATTTTTGAAAAGTATCTGAAATATAAGAAAAACGTAAATAGAGTATCTGAAATTACCATAACGCTTTGTCAACACCAGTTTTGCCAATCTCAATGTTTTTGCTTGAGATTTCACCCTCGAAACTTAGAAATGAAAGATGCAAAGAGTTTGGATTTAGATATTGCGATGGGTTATAAGAGGAAACGGAGCTACAAGAACTACATATTTGTCATGTGTTACTTACGTCTAAGACTCCTTCCCTGGAACTTGGAAGACAACATATGTGTAAGTGTAACCATTTTAGGTCAAGTTTTTGGAAATGGTTTTTGGCTCCTACGAGTTGGTTATTTTCTTGAAACCGAAAAAAATATGAAAACCCAAATTCAAAATGATTAGTTAGTGTGACTAACTGAGTCGAACTTGGGGCAACGTTTTACTGTATGTCGAGTGCCCACTATGACGTGGAGCTGCAAAAGTAAACACAAAGCAGAAAAGTATATCAGTTAAAATGGTTAATCAAGTTTGTACGCTACAAAAGAGAAGGAAATACAAGAATAAAAGGAAATCAAGAAATAATAACAAAAAAGGAAATTGTTCTTATTAGTAAATTGTAAAATCTCTCTTTATATGTATAAATAGATGCCTCGTTGGCTTCTTTGAAAAAATCAAAGATTTAAGAGTTCGAATTTTCTAAAACCTTTCAGGTTTTCTTGTAAAGGAAACCAAATTGGAAGATTGGATTTCCTTTGACATAGATACTTGTAAGTTCTGTATCTTGGTTTCTTGTAAGATAAATCTAATTGAAGAATTGTTTGAGAAATCTTTGTGTTAGTAGTTCTTGCTTTTTTTTCAATCTCTGGCTTTGTCTTCTTAAATCCGAGAAAAATTTCACTCAGCTACTTTTTTTTTTTTCATTTTCTCCAGATTCCGGCGAGGGAGAATAGAGAATTAAATGATGTCAGGAGATCCGAAAGACAGCCACGTTTCCAATTCCACCGGAAATATCGGCAGCGATTTCGGAAGCAGCTCCCCCAATTACACAGTCACTGTCCCTCTGACGCCCGACAACACTCCGGATACTGTTCAAATCGTTCCCACAGACATCGATTCCGGTTCATCTTGCAAAGACGGCGACTCGGAGCAAACCGATCCGAGAAACGGTGAAGAATCCGATGCCTTGCTCGGAAAGTTATCTCGACCTTTGACCCGTATCGTCAAAATATCTCCGATCGTCATCCATCTGTATCGGTATATCTCTCCTTCTTTCTCTCTCCTTGAAATATTTCACTGTCGTGTCAGTTACAAACACTTGTTATGTGATGTGATGTGACATACAGACATAAAGCATGATCCTTTAAGGATGATGTTTCAAGAGATTTTCTGACAATGGTTTTTTTTTTTTTCTTAATTTTTTCAGGACTCTAATATTTGTTCGAGTCGTAGCTCTGTGTATGTTTCTCGCATGGAGAGTCAGAAACCCAAACAATAAAGCAATCTGGCTATGGTTCCTCTCTGTAATCTGCGAATTCTGGTTTGCATTCTCTTGGTTAATCGACCAAATCCCAAGGCTGTTTCCGGTTAACCACGGAACCGATATCGAAGCCTTAAGGGAGAGATTCGAATCGCAAAACCCGAATAACCCAACCAGTAAATCTGATCTTCCTGGAATCGATGTCTTTGTTTCAACCGCTGATGCAGAGAAAGAGCCGCCATTGGTGACAGCCAACACAATCCTTTCGATCTTAGCCGTTGATTATCCTATTGAGAAGCTCTCTTGCTACATCTCCGACGATGGAGGATCGCTTCTAACGTTTGAAGCAATGGCTGAAGCGGCAAGCTTCGCCAAGATTTGGGTACCGTTTTGCAAGAAACACAAGATCGAGCCTAGGAACCCGGAGAGTTACTTTGGTTTGGAGAAAGATCCTTTCAAGAACAAAGTGAGACATGATTTCGTCAGGGAGAGACGGTATGTGAAACGAAGCTACGCGGAGTTCAAGGTTCGTGTTAACGCGTTGTCTCATTTCGTTAGACGGAGATCAGATGCGTGTAACAGCAGTGAAGAGACTAACGCTTTAGAGAAATGGAATAACTGGAAGTTGAATGACCAAGACGAAGAGTCAAGACCTTCTATAGTAGCTCATAAAGCTACTTGGATGAGCAATGGATCTCATTGGCCCGGTACTTGGTCTGTCCCTTGTGCAAACCATTCAAAAGGCGACCACGCTAGTATTATACAGGTAAAAAGTCTAAAAACGTTGGTTGATCTCTCTAATTGGTTTAATATAGCGTTTGCGTTTGGCTAAAGAGAATTGTTTATTATTTTTGTAGGTGTTGCTTGATCATCCTGGGGATGAACCGGTTAAAGGAACAGGCGGCGAAGGGTGCGAGCTGGATTTTGAAGAAGTAGACATTCGTTTACCGATGCTTGTTTACGTGAGCCGAGAGAAACGGCCTGGTTATGACCATAACAAGAAAGCAGGAGCTATGAACGCTTTGGTGCGAGCATCGGCTATAATGTCTAATGGACCGTTCATCTTGAACTTGGACTGTGACCACTATGTCCACAACTCTAGAGCCTTTAGAGATGGGATCTGTTTCATGATGGACCGTGATGGCGACTGCGTTTGCTTTGTTCAGTTTCCGCAGAGGTTCGAAGGAATCGATCCTTCTGATCGCTATGCTAACAACAACACTGTTTTCTTCGACATTAATCTCCGAGCTCTCGATGGGATCCAAGGTCCGATGTATGTAGGGACGGGATGTCTTTTCCGTCGAACCGCTCTTTACGGTTTCGACCCGCCTGATGTTTCCGTGAGAGATCAACGGTCTGGTTGCTGCGGGTGCTGTTTCCCGCAGAGGCTGAAAAGCAACTCCGCAAGAGTAGCTTCTGAACCGGAGTACTACATGGACGACGACGAGGACGAGCATATCTGTCTGATTCCGAAGCGATTCGGTTGCTCGAGTATCCTTGTGAACTCGGTTAAGCGCGCAGCCTGCACGGTTCAGTCGAGCGGACCGGGACGCCCCGTCTGCCCTCTTGGCTCCTTGACCGGAGGCCGCAAACCGCTCGATTACGCTGCTGTAAGCGAGGCGTTCAACGTGGTCTCGTGCTGGTACGAGTACAAGACTCAGTGGGGAATGAGCGTTGGGTGGGTCTACGGGTCCGTAACCGAAGACGTGGTGACCGGTTTTCGAATGCATGAGAAAGGTTGGAGATCGTTCTACTGCGTAACAGAACCCGACGCGTTTCGAGGATCCGCGCCGATAAACCTAACCGATCGGCTCCACCAGGTTCTCCGTTGGGCCACTGGATCAGTCGAGATCTTCTTCTCCCGTAACAACGCTGTTTTAGCCGGCCGAAAACTGAAACTCCTCCAGAGGATCGCTTACCTCAACGTTGGAATCTACCCGTTCACAAGCGTTTTCATCTTAACATACTGTTTCCTCCCGCCGTTATCTCTCATCTCCGGTCAATTCGTCGTCGATAGCCTCACTCCAGCGTTTCTAAGTTACCTTCTGGCGATCTCGTTTTCTATCTGTGGATTAGCATTTCTTGAAGTCAAATGGTCAGGAATCACTTTGGAAGAATGGTGGAGAAACGAGCAATTCTGGTTAATCGGCGGCACGAGCGCGCATTTAGTAGCTGTTCTTCAAGGCCTTCTCAAAGTTATCGCCGGAGTCGAAGTCTCCTTCACGTCGACTTTGAAATCTTCGACGGGGGGAGGAGATGACGAAGACGACGATTTTGCTGAGCTTTACCTGTTTAAATGGACGTCTCTGATGATTCCCCCGTTGACGATCATAATCTCGAACATCGTGGCTATTCTTGTCGCGTGGTGCCGAACGATTTTCAGTGATAATCCACACTGGAGCAATCTTGTTGGTGGGACGTTCTTTGCGGTTTGGGTCTTGGTTCATATGTATCCGTTTGCGAAAGGATTGATGGGAAGAACAGGGAAAACTCCGACAATTATTTATGTTTGGTCGGGACTTATCGCCATTTGTTTGTCTCTTCTCTACGTTGCCATTAAGAACTCGGAGTTGATGAAGGAGAGTTTCAGTTGACTTAGAGATTACAGGAGAATGTAAATACATACATACACTCTATAATGTTGGGAGCAGAAACAGAGTGGTTATGCAAGAAACAGAGCATTTTTTTGTTATGAAAAAAGCTTCTTGATGGTTGGGTGAGGGGTTTATGGTTTAGGGTTTTCATGTTCACAAGGTTGTATTCAATTTAATATTTAAAATGATTTGGAAATATTTGAGTATTAATGAGTTTTTGTATGATTTGGTTAAATTATGAAAATTGTTATGATTTGATATGAAAATTTTATCAAACTCCACCTAAAATCATGAAATTTGAATTATTATATTTTTAATTAGGAAATTAAACCAAAACATCTTAGAGGTGTATTCAACTGAACATTTGAAATGATTTAGAAGATTTGAGCTTTAATAAATTTTTAGATGATTTGGTTGAATTATGAAAATTGTTATGATTTGATATCACAATTCTATCGAACTCCACATAAAATCATGAGATTTAAATTTTAATATTTTTAACTAAAACATTCCACCTAAACATCTTAAAACCACTCCAATTTTTTTAAAAACTCATTACTTAAATTATTTTCTATAACATTAAATTTAAAGATATATTTTCAAATCACTAACTTAATAACACAGAATTTTAAGCAACTTTTTAAAAAATTATGTTTCAATAACAGAGATTTGTGATTTTAATACAAACTACTCTAAATTTTAATTTGAATTACTCCAAATTTCATCAAATCCATTACTTAAATTATTTCGAATAACAATGAATTTGAAAATGATTAGTTCAATAACACTGAATTTTAATCAAATTTTTAAAAATTTATGTTTCAATAACAAAAAGTCTGTAATATTCATACAAATCACTCTAAATTTTACTTTGAATACACCTCCCTAACTCAATTTACGCAGAGGAAGATTTGCCATGAACAGAGAGTATGGGTGTCTTTTAGCATGGGCAAGTGAAGCAATTGAACAGGATTCAAAAATTTAGAGGGTTTATTAAAAGGTCCAAAAGTTTGAAGAGTCTATTAAAAAGTCCAGAATTTTAGAAAATATATGTTAAATGCTTTAATATTTTGGGTAGGTTGAGATTCTAACTTGATTACATTATTAATAATTAATTTATAAATAATGAAAGAACAAAAAATTTTCTTCAATAAATTTTTAGAATATCATCATAAACAAGTTTTATAGTCCTAAATCAAAAAAGAAAAAAAATTCTGGTTCTCAATCTACTTTTCGAATCATTTGAAACATAACTTAGTGGTTTCATGTTTTATTTAATTTATTTTATATACTTAGTGAACCTTTTCAATTCCATTTATTTCCAGTTTTTAATAAGTTCGATTTTTACTTCTATGCTGATTTTTGAAGTTACAAACTCAAAGAAGATTAATTGAATAATTTATAGAATCTCAAAATGATAATTATTAAATATTTAATAGAAAACCAAATAATTATTTTCCAATAAATTTTAGAAGATTTGAATATGGAAGAATTTAAAATTAAAAGAATAATGTTATCAAAATAAAAATTATTAAATTATATCAGTGTTTTTTAAAATTTGATAGAAATATTTTATGATTTTTTTATAAATAGTTTAAATTATTTTTTAAGATGACAAAAAATAATATATTTTAATAAGTTTTATTTTAATTGTAAAAATTTTTTTTTATAAAGTTCTAATTTTAATTTATCTATATAAATTTTAAGACGGCCCTGATAGAGAGAGAGATAGAGATGGGAGAAAAAGGAGAGACGATTCCCATCGATCTCATCTTCATCAAGATACTCGCAAGATTACTAGCAAAAAATATCGCAGGTTTTCGTTGCGTCTCGAAACAATGGGCTTCTTTTCTTCATCGCTCAGACTTCATCAAATCGTTCCTGACAAGTTCATTGACAAGGACACGTCTCTTGTTCACGTTCGAATTAGACGGTAAGTGGCACTTCTTCGCATCCCCTCAGCCTCGAAATCTTGATGAGCACACGTAACCGCAGATTTTTCTCCGGAGATTGGTACAAGGAGAGATTTGTCAATCCGTCAACGGATTTATCTATTTTAACGATTAACAGATGCTGAAGAGAAAGATCGAAAGGGCTCCTGTGAAATGTAACGCTAGCTAGCACGGTCAGCACCTAACTTAACCTAACGTGAGATCCAAGCACACCGATCTGAGAAGCTTTTTAGGGTATGATCCTATCGAGAAACAACTCAAGGTTTTGTGCATGACCGTGAAAACGTATAGAAAACAAATCAACTCCAAAGAGCATCAAGTTCTGACGTTAGGGAAATGACTAAAGGAGAACCATCGTGGAGCAATGCTATCATAGTTTTAATACTACAAGAAAAAGTTTAAACAATGCTATCATGGTTTAAACTTTGGATATATAGAGTAAATCTGTTTTCCTTTCCTAATTTTATTTGATATTTCGGTTTATTTGTAGACTAAAAGATATATGTTTTCGATCTTTTGAATGTTCTGGCTAAGTGAGATATATTTCAAAAAATGTTTTCTTGCCTGTGAAACTTGTCAAAGTTATCCAAAAATATCTTATGTATCAAAGCTATCCAAGAAACATCAACGACGAGAATCACTCGTCCATTCGATAGAGAAAACACATGTCGATAAACATTATCTTCCTCTTTTCTTTTTATCGGATGTCCGGTCCCCGAAGGGCACAATGGAGATCAGAGCGATGACATAAGTTAAACTAGAAAATTATGTGACCAAATAAAATGATAAAACCAATTGTAATTCGGTTCAATTTCAGTTTGGTTTAACAAAAAAATAAACTGACTAAATGTTCGTCTAGACCGATTTTATGTCATTGATCTTGGCATGATTTGAACCACTTAATTTTTCTTAAATTTAGACTCTTTTTTTTGTCAAATGACACTTTTAATTGGAGTTTATTTTAGTTAAAATCGAATGGAAAATAAGAAATATATATATTCGGGTTGAATTTTGAATCTTCCGGATGATTGAATTTGTTCTTCGACCGGGGAAAAAATTCAAACTGCAAGTTTCTAGGGCCTTAAGCATTTCTGACCAGAATGAAAAATTCGTAAGGCCTTATGAGTGGTGACACTGCACAAAACTAAAAACAACATTTTAATTTTTAAATGAGTTATTTATCTACAATAACCTTACTAAATAGAGTATTTATTAGAATAACATTTTTTTACAACTGACTTACTACAATAACTTCACAAAGTTGTGCAAAGACATAAAACTCTAAATTTTCAACATAATAACGAAAATACCATAAAAAAAACTATTTTCGTAATAAATTAAATAAATAAATAAAATAAAGAAAATAAACAAAAGAGAATTTGTTGTCCGATAATGAAAGTGAAACAGAAAAAAAAAAACAAAGAGGTTAAAACCTAAAAAAAAAAAAAAGGCAGCGTCGTAAGCGACAGATCGGAGGATTCTGGCTGCTTTGTAGGCGACAGATCGGAGGCGGCATCGTAGACAATGGAACGGATCGGTGCGAAGCGTCGGTGGTGTTGTAGGCAACGGATTGGATCGGTGCGCAGCGTCGGCGGAGCAAAGGTCGTCGGCGGAGCAAAGGTACCGGGATTTTTAGTTTAATTTTCTGGCGGTTCTGACTTTGAGCTTCAAATCTAAGACCGTATTCGTTTATTGCAGAAAACTGTTTATCGGGATTGTTTAGATCCGCCGCTGGAAAATTGTTTTGCCTCTCCGTTGAGAAAGGTAAGGTCCGCCGGCGGCAATTTTTTTTTGGTTACGAAATTGCTTTGTTTATCGGGATTTTATGAGACACCTAATTCTTACTTATCCTTTTTTTATACAGATCTATCGGAGCTCGAGCTCAGATTGGTACAAAGTTGACCGGTGAAAACAGTCCGCTCGCCTGAGAAGATTATTCCGGTGAGGATTTACAGAGCCGTTATGGTAGATTTTTAATATATATCGGGGTAATGGTGGTAGATTTATTCGATATATGGTATATAGTGGTGGTAGATTTGTTTATGGCTTAGTTTTTGTTGGTATTAAGGATGGTCATGGTGGTAGATTTGTTTGATAGTGATGGTAAATTTGTTTGATATATATATAGTGGTGGTAGATTTGTTTATAGCTTAGTTTTTGTTGGTATTAACGATGGTCATGGTGGTAGATTTGTTTGATAGTTGTTGTAGATTTGTTTGGTAGCTTAGCTTTGTTGTGGTAGATTTGTTTGATAGCTATTGGTGGTAGATTTGTTTGATTTGTTTGAGAAGATGATTTGTTAGATTTGTTTGGCATCGATAGCTTGTGGTAGATTTGTTTGTCATCGTATGTATTGGATGTATTGGTAGTAAATTTGTTTCATAGATATATTGATTGATATATATATATATATATATATATGTTAAATTTTTGCAGGTTATATGGCATCTTCAAAGGATAAGAGGGGGCGAAAGCAGAAGTACCCACCGAGATTGTTTCCGCCTGGAAAATCTCTTGTGCAAAAGAGAAGCTTGAATCATTATTGTCATTTGTCGGACTTTGGGTTGCTGGTTGAGGGTGTTGGAGAGGATGTCTACAACAACATTATGCCCGGTTCTCAGGTTGGCGTGATGTTGAAGCTTGCCAAGAAGCGTTACATATGGGCTGCGGGTATGGTCCATAACTTCATAACAAACCAATTGGCGGTGCAAAGGAGTTACGAAATCTGGTCACTTATTGGTGGGCGTCCATTGCGATTTTCGCTTCACGAGTTTCGTGATATCACTGGCCTAAACTGTGAGCCGTTTGCTGATGATGAGTGGGACATTGATCATAGAGAGTTTTGGGAAGAGATGGGTGTGAGTACAGGAGTCAGGCCTAATTGGCATGAGTTGGTTGCTATTTTTGAAATATGCAGTACATGGTCATCCGTGAAGAAGAAGATGGTTGGCTTGCTATTCACATTGCACGTAGCCATATTTGGTATTCATCGCAATTCGCGGATCCCTTTGGATAGTGCTAAAAGAGTGTTGGATGAGGCAGCTTTTG